CCTCTGATTTTCCGATTATCCATCCTCCCTCATTTTATTCTCCATGCATCTTCCAGTGTTCACAAAAACAAAACATCTTCTTTTCAAGTACTGTTAAAAAAAAAATCTTCTTATAAACCTGATTGGAATATTTTTCAGTGTGTCGAGTTGGGTCTGGGACTTGTCCTGTTCAGTTCTGCACTGGCTATGAGAATCTGGCTTGCCCTGTTCTGGGTTTTCTGAAAATTGACCCTTCAGATAGACGCGTGGCGAACGGAGAACGTAGGTTACCGTAAATAGACCAGCACGCAAACTGCTGTAGGCCTGCAGCCACCGGCATCAGTCAGCTCAGCAGAGTAGATAACGGTGACTCATGACTGAGTCCTGAGATTCTTTCTTCTCCTCTTGTCTCTATCCGATCCCAGTAGGAGTCCTTTGACATGTCCCCGTCCGGTTTCAGAATTCCGACAACCTTCTAGTTACCTGTGCCTTTCATGCATGTGGTGTTTTGCTTTTTTGATGGGTTCTTATCCATCCTTTATGTTCCTGTTCCTGTTGCTTCCACATTTTGATCTTCAATATCAAACTTGTTTTGAATTCAACAAACTATTAAGGTTTAAGGCAGGGTAAAGCAAATAGAGACAATTGGGAGAAAAACACTCTTTATTATGATTGAGAGATGTAAGAGTTACATATAATAATTTTTATATAAATTATAAATTAAATAATAGAAGAAAATAAATTACTATATTAAAATACCAAATATAATATATCTTATCAATATTATAATCAAATTTATTAATTAATTAATCAATCACTTATATAATTGAAATTTTCTAATTCCTTAACATCTCCCTCAAAATTAAAGTGGTATGAAAGACCAGCTTGAGTTTGAAAACATCTGAAGAAAATTGAAGCGCCACCCGAGAAGTGCTTCTACAGCAGAATATCACAACTAGCAGAAAAGTTGAGCCAAACCAACATAGAAATCAGCAAAAATGGTTGAAAATGAGACAAAATTAGCCATAGGTGAATCAACTTGCACCCAAAAATATGAATAATTGTGGGCAAAAAGTCCGCTGTCAGAACCATTAGACATGGGCCGATTGTTGGCCGAGGATCCGCACATATATTCTATTCCATTGTAAATTTGTAAAAGCTGAACAAGTTCTAATTAAAGGAGCCACGATTGCCACGGGCCTGTTGAACAATGGGCTGTCGATGACGTGCGAAGCAACCCCGCGGAAGTGACCACAGAGGATGTAGCGCCATACCTGAAACGAGTAGGGGCAAAACCGCAGAAACATGAAAGTTGAAACTTTGCGTAGATGAAACAGCAAAACAGCGGGTTCAGTGGTAACAAATGGGCAAGATGGCAGTTGGAGAAGAGAAGATCTAAAGTCAAAGAACTGTGGGTAAGAAGGAGAGATTTGCCGAAGGAGGTGGCTGTCCTTACCGACAAGAAAGAGGACAGAAGAGGACGTTCATAGGACGAAGCTTGCGTCTGGGAGTATTAAGGATCAGTTAGAAGTAAACGGACAGATTGCCCATTAGTTAGAATTGTCTAATATCAGATTTTCATGAATATGTTGATATGAAGGAGAGAGGAAGGTATGGGGGGTGATGAAGATCGATGCGGACGGTGTGATAGCTTGTGTAGTAATCGTCGGTGTTGGTGAGGTGGTGGGCAAACCAAGTTGAGGTGAAGAAATTGATAGTGGATGACTTGTTTTAGAGGCCCGTGGCATCGCTGGTGGTGGTGCAGTGGGCGATCAGGAGATAAGAAATTGAATATAGAGGGGTTGAGATTACTACTCCACATTTCTAGATTTATTTTTAGGGTAAACTTTAATTATTTCAGTAAATTTTTTGGCCAAATCATCATCATTCATTTATAATAATTGGATTGACTATCAAAAAGAAAATTATTCTAATTGGACCTACTTAGTTATTTTCAATTTGGTGCCTTATTCACCGTATCTAAGGAAGGCTGGCGATTTTGAATCCTGCTTGGATCTAGGACTCAACGTCCTTTATAAACTATTTTTAGGACAATTTCTATATGAATTTAATATATTATATAATACATTTATTAAAATTTTATTATTATTATTTTTTGTTTGAATATTCCCAAGGAGAGGGGAAATGTGTCATTATAAGGAATTGAAACTCAAACTTAAGGAGTCTTCTCACTCAAAGGTAAGTGATTAATCACTTGGCCCAAATTAATATACGAACAAAAGAATCATTATTTATTGGTTTAAAATTAAAGACGTTTAAAAATACAATTATATACATAAAATATAAAAATAAGTTGAATTAACTACACTTATATTATATTTTTACTAGTTGAATCGAAAATATATTAAACTGAATATGTATCAATTATTTTCCTTTTTGTATACAACTTGAAATAGTAGTAAAGAAATTAAATGGATGCACATATTTGGCACTCATCAAATTTTTCTATTTTCCTGTAATTGTCATGTAAATATATTTTGATCGCATTGTTTTCCAATAAATTACATTTCCAATCAATTAATGGACTACAAACTAAAAACTAATAAAAAGCTGGGTTTTGTAAGTATAATAAAAATTTAATGGAAGAAACTAAATTTGCTCCGTTTAGTATCCGGGGAACAATGGAGGAGGTGGCGACGAATACTCAAAACCTAGATTTGGTGGCAAAATGATATCTTCCATTGGAGGTGGAGCCTTAAGGGTAGGAGGGGGAGGTGAAGGAGATGGAAAAGGTGGAGGTGGAGATTGCACCGGAGGTGGTGAGAAAACTGGTGGTGGTGGAGATTGGACTGGAGGTGGAGGAGAGTGCACGGGTGGTGGTGGTGGAGATTGAACTGGAGGTGGTGGGTAATGCACGGGCGGTGGTGGTGGAGATTGGACTGGAGGTGGAGGGGAGTGCACAGGTGGAGCGGAGTGCGCTGGTGGTGGTGGTGGTGGAGAAGAATGAACTGGAGGAGGAGGGAAGTGTATAGGTGGTGGAGGGGAGTGCATTGTTGGTGGTGGTGGTGGTGGTGAAGATTGAACTGGAGGCAGTGGTGATGATTGTTCCGGGAGAGGAGGAGATAAATCGTCACCAACTGGTGATTGTTTATGAGGATCATCATATGGTGTCGGTGCTGGTGCTAAAGGTTGCTTTGGTGGTGGTTGTGATTGTACTGGAGCACGAGGAGACAATTCGTTACCATGACCTGGTCCTAGTGGTGGAATTGGTGCTTGTAGTGTCTCTATTTTTGGAGGTTTAGGAAGTGGCGTTGGGGCTGAAACTGGTTCAGGGGATTGCTCCTTGGGTGGTTGTGGTTTGGGAGATGGTTTTCGTTCTTTAGGTTGCTGTGGCTTTGGAGATGGCTTTGGTTCTTGTTTAGGCGGTTGTGGCTTTGGAGATGGTTTTGGTTCTTTAGGTGGCTGTGGCTTTGGAGATGGCTTTGGTTCTTGTTTAGGTGGTTGTGGCTTTGGAGATGGTTTTTGTTCTTCTTTAGGTGGCGCTAACTGAGGTGATGGTTTTGGTTCTTCTTTAGGTGGTTGTGGCTTTGGAGATGGTTTTGGTTTTTCTTCAGGTTGTTCAGGTTTAGGTGAAGGTTTTGGTTCTTGTTTAGGTGGCTGTGGTTTAGGAGATGGTTTTGGTTTTTCTTTAGGTTGCTCTGGTTTAGGTGAAGGTTTTGGTTCTTGTTTAGGCGGCTGTGGCTTAGGAGATGGTTTTGGTTCTTCTTTAGGTTGCTTTGGTTTGGGTTCTTTTTTAGATGGCTTTGGCTTAGGAGATGGTTTTGGTTTTTCTTTAAATGGCTGTGGCTTTGGAGATGGCTTCGGTTCAGGGGAATGTTCTTTTGGCGAATGTGGTACGGTAGATGGTTTTGAGTTAGGCGGTTTTGGATTTGGTGCATGGGAGGATGATTTCGGAGAGGATGGAGATTTTGATCCTCCTCTACCACCATCGCCACATTTTGACTTGCTGCAATCCACCGGCCGACTCACCACTTTCTGACATTCCTTAGATGACCTCTGATTAGATCTATCAGGCAAACAATTTTTCCGATCATCCAAAGCAATATCCGTCCTTTTGGATGGCTCACACTCTTCAGCTTCACCATTGAAATAGTTATACGAAAATGTGAAATTCTTCAATCCTGGCAACTTGCATATGTTCTCCTCAACAAATCCCGTCAGCTTGTTACGCGAAACGTCAAGGTACTCAACTTTTTCAAGCCCCTTAAACGTTTTCGCCAACACACCACTAAAAGAATTCGAGCTGACATCCAAAATCGTAACGTTTCCAAGCATTCCAACCTCCACCGGCAAGCATCCAGACAGATCATTGTTCAAGAAAACTATTTCATTCAATGTTGTGCTCATTTGACCAATACTATTCGGAATGCAACCGGTGAACTTGTTATTAGCCAAGACGATGACAGATGCCCGAGAATACCCTAAAGTCTGCGGAATGGTGGAGGTGAAGCGATTGTTGTTCAAGAACACCGCATCCAGTTCCTTCTCGAAAAGCTGAGATGGTACCTTACCTTCAAATTCATTGTACCTTAAATCAAGGTATCTGAGGGAGGGCAATGCAAGCACAACATCGGGGAATGACCCGACAAATCTATTATTGCTAACATCAAGCTCGAACAAAAGCCCAAGTTTCGAAAAACTTTTTGGAATAATCCCACAAAACCTGTTGGTGTTGATATGAAACAGGGCAATATCCGTCAACAATCCCAATTCCACAGGAAGATATCCCGCGATGTCAGCGTGGTTGATGTCAATTCCAGCGACAACCTTCAACTTGGGATCGTCGAGAGCTCCCGAACAAAAAACGCCCTCGTAACTGCAAACATCGGGGCCAACCCAATTACCGGTGGTGTTTAAAGGGTCAGAGTACATTACATTTTTCCATGCCTGGAGAGCAATGTAAGCCCGCCTGAGCCTGGAGTTTTCAAATGTGATGTTGAGTTTGACTTGGTACTCATAATTATCAGGGAGGTCACCGTTCTTTGGGAGGCTCAGGAGCTGCCGGCGGGCGATGGAGGAAACTTCAGCATCGGAAAGGGCGTAGGAGACACAGATGAGGAGGAAAAATGTTAGAAAGCAGCCTACAGAGGCATGCATATCGGAGTAGGAGCGCATGGCGATGAGACCTTGGAGAGCCCCAAGGCTGCTTATAGTCACATTATGGAAGGAAACGGATGGGTGTTAATTGTTATATTCAGGCAAAAATCAGTTTCTCTGGAAAATTATTGAGAGGCTCTGCGGAAATTTCTAGGCTAAATTTGATCATTGAGTGTTACAGAAATGATTAACAGCTGTAACACTCAGGACCAGATCCGTCCCTGTTTGCTCAACACCTTAAAGAATGGTAGGGCCATGGATTCTGTTGGGTTTCACCCAACCTAAGCACTATTGCATTATACTCGGGTTAGGGTTTTGAGCAATTGGGCCAAAGATTGGATATAAATGTTGGGCTGGACAACATTAAATGATACATATTTTTTCTTACTACTTTCTAGTTTCTTAGATTTAGTTGTGGCCAAAATAAGAATTCTCTTCATTTTCTTTTTCTTTTGAATGCCGGCTTAAATCAAATTAACTAAAATTTAAATTAATATATTACTGCTTTTATAGATGGAGATTGATGAAAATTAAGGTATTTTGAAACTTAAAAGGACAAGAATAATAAAAAAAAAAACTATGAATTAACACATAAAAAAATTTATTAATAGTATTTAAATAATTTCACAAAAAAATCTTAACATTTAAAGTGTTAAAATATCTTAATTTTTATTTTAGTAAAACCACCAAATTTACCACTTAAATAGAAGGGTATAGACAAGTGTATAGACAAGTTTGTCTCTCAAAAAAATATAAGGATAAATTGTTTTTTCCAATTATTAATCAAGAAAAATCACCCATCCTTTAATGTAACATCATCACACATTCATTTTTTTTGTTAAATAATGCTTAAATAACAAACCAATTTCTAACGTGTGATGATAATAATAAACAATTTATTTTAATTGATAATTTAAAAAAATAATTTATTTTTTTAAGATACAAATATATCTTTATTCTCTTATTTAAGAGACGAAATTTAAGAATTTTATCTTTTATTTTTATCTTTTAGATGTATCATTAGTAGTATGTTTGTTCTTGGAAAAGAAATGAAAAGAAGTTAAAAAAAACCAAGTTAGATGTGTAAGTAGTTAAGACATCACATCACCTCCCAAGATTGGCGTGGCTGTGTCATTATCTCGAAAATTAAATTTTGAAAGAGGCCAATTTTAAACATCAATGCCCCACCAAGCTAGCTTGCTTAGATATTGATGAACTTCAAAGTAAAGATGAAAAACAAAGGGGCTGGTATCATAGGAAAAGTGACTCAAGTATTCAACCAAGTAGAAAAGAGAGAAGAAAAAGAAAAGCAGACCAAGAAAATCTCCATTCTTGCCCAATTTATTGCTCACAAGTTGAATCATCACCTCTACCTACCATAAAGTGTTGTCTGCAACTGCAAGGGCCATTAGGACCACAGGCATGCCAACTAAGCAACACCATGCAAGATACGGACATCTAACGTATCAATCTGAGACTGAAATTAATATTTGCCTCTGATTAGATATCCTAGTATTGAGAAAGCTTAGCCTTTTATTACTAGGGTCAATGCGATTTGAGGTGACGGGGCAAACTTGAGATGGAAAAGGAGTGAGTTGTAATAAAGGTGGGAAGGGAAGACAACAGCATTCAATGCAGACATCTTGTCAGTAAGTGTAAATGAGAAATTGATGGATTTCTAAAGGAGCTCGCTTTTATTTTGCACTCTTGCTCTACTTCAACGGTAGCCAGAAACAGTGGTTGGCAATCGAAATTTGGTTGAAACTTTAGAACTTGGAAATCCCCTGTTCCTCTCCATAGTTCCTGAATCCATTTCTGCACTTCCCTCTCTTCCTCATTTCGAGTTCTTGAATTGGGTAGGTTTGCTTTCTTGACTCTTCGCATTGTCTGCCGACTATTTTTCAAAATCTTTAATCTTTATGCTTTCCCTTTTAGAATCTTCTTCGTTCTTTTAGGAATGTTGGGTTTAATGCCCTGAATTTCTTTCGCTTTTTTTTTTTAAAATATTTTTGGTGCCTTGATTCTTTTCTTTGAATTCTTCAAATCTGGGTTTTGCGTCTTTAATGCAGCGTATTTCACTTTGAATTGGAACTCCCAATTATGGGTCCTCAAAGTTGTAGGAGGATAATGCTAAAGCTAAAGCTATGAATTTGAATCTTATGATCTTATCAGCATGAGCTTTATTTTCCTTTTTGTTCTTTCTTCTTCTTTATGTCTCTTTCCTTTTTCTCTTTGATCTAACAAAGTCCTGATTCCTCAATCTTTGTATCTTGTTTTGAATGTTTTGGCGATAAACTAAAGGCTTAGCCAAAGTTTGAAAATACCGCTCAATCTCAGCGCCTAATTAACATTTCGTCTTCAAAAAGTTTAAGCTTCCATCCCTGTATCGACACAGTTGCTTTTCTGGGTTTGAAAATTGAATTCTGCTGTTCTCAAGGGGCGTTTGCATGAGATAAGGAAAATTTTCCAGACAGGTACAGAGACAAGTAATTAGAGAGCCATTCATGCATTTTTCAATATGGAAACCAATATCCCACTTTGCAGCTCTAATAGTGGACAAGAAGAAGAGCAGAAACAGAAGGAGAACTGGGTTATGTCTGAAAGAGGAAGAAAAGAAGAAGCCCTCTATTCTCCGCCAATTGCAGGAAAACAAGCTCAGGGAAGCTCTTGAAGAAGCTTCTGAAGATGGGTCTTTTGCAAAATCTCGAGACATTGATTCTCTGTCCTTGAATCAGGATGGAAACATTGGAAGATCAAGATCCCTTGCTCGGCTCCTTCCGCAGAATGATTTCTTGAATGCCACTTCTCTAGCTGCAGCCCGTACCTTTTGCTCTGAACACTCCATTCCTGACCTCCATGATGCTTTCTCCAAGTTCCTCACTATGTATCCCGATTTTCAATCCACAGAGAAGATTGACCAGCTGAGGGTAGAGGAATATGACCATCTCTCTGAATCTCCCGCTAAGGTATGTCTTGATTACTGTGGCTTCGGGCTATTCTCTCTTAGTCAAATTCAAGAGCACTGGGTTACACCGGCATTTAGTTTGTCTGAAATAACTGCTAACTTGAGTAATCATGCTCTTTATGGAGGTGCTGAGTTTGGTACTGTTGAAAATGATATAAAGACTAGAATTTTTGATCATTTGAACATCCCCGCAAATGAGTATTGCCTTGTTTTTACTTTTAGTAGAGGGTCTGCATTTAAGTTGCTTGCTGAATCTTACCCTTTTCAAATGAATAAGAAGTTGTTGACCATGTTTGATCATGAGAGCCAGTCTGTAATCTGGATGGCTCAGTGTGCTAAGGAGAAAGGTGCTGACGTGCACAATGCTTGGTTTAAATGGCCTTCCCTGAAACTATGCTCTAGAGAGCTTAGAAAGCAAATTTCAAACAAGAAGAAGAGGAAAAAAGGGCATGCAAATGGCCTTTTTGTATTTCCTGTTCAGTCTAGAGTCACTGGTACAAAGTTTTCCTACCAGTGGATGGCACTTGCTCAACAAAACAATTGGCATGTACTGCTTGATGCTGGGTCTTTGGGTCCAAAAGAGATGGATTCCCTCGGCTTGTCCCTATTTAGGCCAGACTTCATTGTTACATCTTTCTATAGAGTGTTCGGTTATGATCCAACCGGTTTTGGATGCCTTTTAATAAAGAAATCTGTGATGGGAGGTCTCCAAAGTCAGTCTGGGTATACCGTGTCTGGAATGGTGAAGATCCTCCCAGTTTATCCTCAGTACCTGAATGATTCTGTGGATGGGCTTGATTTTTCAGTTGAAATTGAAGATGAAGCAGGCAATGGCAATGAAAACTCATTGCATGAAAAACACAGTTTACCGCAAATTCCTGCCTTTTCTGGTGTTTTTACTCCCAACCAGGTGAGGGATGTTTTTGAGACTGAGATGGATCATGATAGTGACCGTTTAGACAAGAATGGAGCAAGCACCATTTTTGAGGAAGCTGAGAATCTTTCTGTTGGTGATCTTATGAAAAGTCCAATTTTCAGTGAGGATGAATCATCATCAGATAATTCTTACCAGATAGATTTGGGTCAGAGTCCATTTGGGTCCGATTATTCTGGCCAGTTGAACAAGCAGAAAACAGGTTTGCCCTTAACACCATCATGTTTGTCTGGGAAGAGGAACAATAGGCAGCTGTCCCCAAAATTGAAGTCAAGAGTACACAAGAACCCAATATATGAAGACAGGAGGATAAACATGACATCTCAAGATCCTCTGTTATCTTTTGATGTAGCAGTATTATCTGTTTCACAGGAGCTTGATCTTGTAAAAGAGATTCATGAAGTATGGCCTGCTGAAACAGACTCTGCCTTGGGCAGTGGAGAAAAATCTACAGATTCTCAGCACCATGAGGAGATTCAAGAAGAATCATGTGTCACAGCTGAATCAATGCTAGCTGATTCTAAGTTTAGAGCCAAGGCAGATGGACTGAGACCTAAAAATGGATATTATGATAACTTGTCAGCTTCTGAAATTCAACAAGAAAAGAAAGGCAGTGCTATAAGGAGGGAGGCAGAGAGTGAGTTTAGACTGCTGGAAAGGAGGGAAAGGAACATGTTTGCTGGTGGTAGATTTTTTGGTTTAGAAGAGGATGATAGAGCTGCAAGCATGGGCTGCAGGGTGTCTTTTAGCATGGAATACAGCCCCAAAGATGACTTCACTCGTTGGCAGCCTGGAGAAATACCCTTGACTACCTTGGGTGATGATGAGTCCATTAGTGATAGTGATGGGGAATATGTTGATGCACAGGAGTGGGAAAGAAAGGAGCCTGAGATAGTTTGTCGGCATCTTGATCACATTAACATGTTGGGTCTCAACAAAACGACCCTCAGACTGCGTTACCTGATCAATTGGCTTGTTACCTCATTACTTCAACTCCGGCTACCCAGTACAGATGAAGCCAAGGGAATGCATCTTGTTCAAATATATGGCCCTAAGATCAAATATGACAGAGGTGCAGCTGTAGCCTTTAATGTGCGAGAGAGCAGTGGAGGAAGGCTAATTCACCCTGAACTTGTTCAGCAGCTAGCCGAGAAAAATGGCATTTCTCTTGGAATTGGTATACTAAGTCACGTAAGGGTAGCGGACAGCCTTAAGCAACAGCGGCGAGCACTTGAGCTAGAAAATTCAGACTTGTGTCAGCCAATGAGTAGTTGTAAAGAAGCCAAAAGTATGTTCTACCGAGTTAAGGTTGTCACAGCATCACTTGGTTTCCTGACCAACTTCGAGGATGTCTACAAGACTTGGGCTTTTGTGGCAAAGTTTCTCAATCCATCATTTGTTGAAGCAGATGATTGAATGCTTTAATGCAGGTTTTGTTTTCATTAAAGAAGAAATTGTAAAAGCAAAAAAACATTTCTTGGAACTTCCACAGTAGTGTGTGATTGTGTTTTTTTATCCCTTCCCTTGGAGTAATTCCTTGTGAGAAGATCCCTTTTTCTATCATTCTTCTTGAAAGTATTTTTAGTATGATTATTTTGTCATGTCAAGGGAGATATTTGATATCATTGCCAATTCGTTAGAATGTGTATTTTTTGTGTTCTCTTTTATGAAACCAAGTGATGCTGTGACAACCTTAACTCGGTAGAACATCCTTTTCGCTTCTTTACAACTACTCATTGGCTGACACAAGTCTGAATCTTCTAATTTTTTAAAAAAATCGAAGTCAATATACACTATTCTTATACTAAATATATTATATATATTTTTTATAATATTAAAATATTAAAAAATCTATAATAAGAGCCACATGCTATCACTTCCAAAGCCTCAAGCCAACAGAATCTTCATTTTTTTTTTTGTCCGCAACGAAGTAAATCCAACAAGATACAAATTTCTAAACATTTGCAATTGCTTAGCAGCTTACTTAATAGTCAATTATACGTATGAAAAAAATGGGATTATAAAGATTATTTGATTTTTAAAATGATGGGATAATATGTAAAATTATTTAAATATTTTCAATGAATCAAATATATATTTATTAAAAATATTTATTTTTTATTATAATTTTTAATATTTTAATTGTGAAAATGTCTTGACTTTTCCTCCATCCTAATTATTTTAGTATACATTTTTTTTGATTTGGCTATTTATTTAGGAAATTTGATAGTAAATTTTTTTTATTAATGTTAAATATGAGGATGTCTTAGCCTTATAATCCCATTCCCATCCCCTCTCCTTTCTCAAAATTACCCAGAATTTTCTTTTAAAAACTTACCATCAAGAAAGAGAAAAAAATATTAATGAGTGTTATAAAGCTGATCAGTTCTTAGC